GTTAGAGCATAAGCAGTATCAATGAGCAGACACTAGTTCTGGATTCGTTCTATTTGTTTTGATTATCTTAGTCTTCCGGTGTAAAGTCGAGACTTAGCTGGGATTCCGTTTACAAGGACAGATTTAGAAACAAGACTGGGTTCAATGCCGACGCAACTTTACCCGGTTATCATCACTTCGGAACTTCCGGAAAGTAATAGCTGGAGCTGTGATTCTCAGATGGTGACCAGTGAAACATCTACATTGGAATCTTGAAGACTCATTTGGGATAGACACAAGTAGATCTTTAGGAAATCCCGTGTTCCGACCGGTTCGGCTTTCTGACCTGACCCCCTTAACGCCCGAATTCGTAACATGTGACCTTGAAACATATTGAGGTTGAGTATTGGTTTACCATTTGGTTGGGCCTCAGTTGCGACGAAGCTAGGAATTCCTATTTACACGGAATTTCTGCTTTCCTTACTGTATTTCTGACGATTAAGGTTAGTATTGGAATAGAACTGTGCTTATGAGGGAAGGTCTAGGTTAGAAATGTTTTGAAAATCCAGGGGAATAACGCATGAAATGACTAGTGCCCAGTAAATAAGCCTAAATGCAATGGGTGAGCATCGAATTTGCATCGATAGCTATGATTAATGAAGTTCTGCTGACAGCTTACTTCCCATTTGTCCAATTCGACGAAGGTGGTTTATTTTGGAGTCCTACCCGCAACCTTCGATCATAGTATTCACAACTTTCACGGTAACACTAACTATGGATATGGTTCATACACCCTTTGGATGGGTACCAGTCGTTCTGCATACCGAGTGATATTTTAACCACACTTGCTGGTCAGTAGCATCAGTCCTAGTTGGAATCACTGTAGTGCGATTATTTATACAGAAACGATATTCACGTTCGCTTTGTACGTCAGTTGTGAATGGTTTTAAGTCAGCGTCTAGCTCTCTCCCTTAGGAGGACAACCAATGATCTCTCAAACCGAGTGAAGCGCCGGACACCCACATTCATCCTTCACTTTGTGGAAACATCGCTACGAGAAGGCAGTGAGCAGGAATTCCTCGGTAGAGACTCCTGGAAGCAGCTTGTCTGACGGCATTCTGGGATTATGTGACGGATTTCTCAAGCATCCATGTCGGAACGTTCAGAAGCCGTTCTACAGCATCGCTGGATGTAATTCCCCGTAACCACCACTATGCAGATGAATCTCATCCTGTGAGCGTGTCTTCGGCACATATTGGGTGCAGGCTGCCATGTCATCAAAGGCATATACTTTAAGTTCACTTGCCTAGTGGTCCCACTATAAGTTATCCGTCATAAGTTTTAGCGGATGGTCTTGCCAGTGGTGTTGTGTGTATTCTCTTTCCTAGGTGGGTCGGCAAAGCTGCATAATATAACCTATCATCCATCTGTTTCTGCCAATAGGCTGTGACCCAGACAAACCTTCAGTGTGATTTGGACACAGCTACAAATCCCTTCAGTGTGTTAACTAATGCGTGTAAAACCGGCAACGTCATAGATATTGATGGTTATATAT